CCTATCTATGTATCTATCTATCTACCGATCGACCTACCGATCGATCGATCAAGCCATCGAAACATCGAGCAATCGAGCAATCGAGCTACCGAGCTATCTATCTATCTATCTATCTATCTGTCTGTCTGTCTGTCTGTCTGTCTGTCTGTCTGTCTGTCTGTCCATCTATCTATCTATCGATCTATCGATCTATCTATCTGCCTATCTATCTGCCTATCTATCGATCTGTCGCTCTATCGAACTATCGCTCTACCGGTCTATCGATCTATCGATCTATCAATCTATCTATCGAGATCTATCTGTCGATGTATCGATTTACCGATCTGCCCATATACCTATCTGTCTATCTTTCTATCTGTTTATCTGTCAAGCCGTCTATCTGTTTATCTGTCTGTCTGTCTGTCTATCTGTCTGTCTTTCTATCTATCTGTGTATCTAGCTATGTCTGTGGATTCTGCAGATTCAGATCCTTGAGGTTTGGGCTGTTTGTCGTGTGCGCGAACGACACTGTGTTCGGCGTGGCAGTTGCCCACACTCATGATAGTAGGGTAGAGTCGAGATCTGAACGAACCTACAGTGCCCAAGTGCAAGAAGACCTGTGGCAGAACACGTCCTCCGCGTGGACAGCTGCTGGATGAGTGCCATTAACTGCAGCGACGGCACCGTTGCGAAGGACACCGAGCTTTCCAGACGTCTCAGGCGAGCCAATGTAGCCTTGCTCCCCTATGCAAGCAGGACACCGTCCGGTCATTGCAGAGGGAGTCTGTGATGCTGGAGATGCTCAGGGCCTCAGGTGATCCCTAAACCCTAAACTCTAAACCCTAAACCCTAAACTTGGCCCTAAACCCTAAACCCTAAAGCTCCGGGGCTTCCGCTCCGCTTTGGCTTCGAGCTGAGGCCACCGGCCACCTCCGAGGAGGCGGTCCAACGTAGCTGGGGCCTTGCAGGCTGGTGCAGGGTGGATCCGGGAGCCCCAAAAAGTCTGAAGCCCTCGAAATCTGCGGCTTCAGATCGGCAGGCTGTGCCGCGCTGGCTCTCATTCTCGGTCTCATGCTGCTGGGCTGGCGGGCGGCTCAGGGGTCGGATCCGCAGGGCGTCGCGGGGTGCGCGGCGCCTGGAAAGGTCAAGCCAAAGCCCTTCGGAGACCGGCAAGCGCCGGATGTCGAAGTGACGTGGAGGCGGAGGCCCCTGATCAATGCAGGTCGTGCTCTAAAGTCCGAGTCGGAGCCCTGGTTTGTGAAGGACATCTACGAGGTCATTGGACCGAACACTCCACCTGCGTGTTTCACAGACAGAAGCCTGATGCCAGTAGCAGAATGCAGCTGCGTGCCGTGGTGCAACAAAAGTGGGTGCTCCTTTGCTGCGCTGCGGCTTGGCCTGAGCCTTGTGCCTTGTGTGAGCCACATGGGATGGACTTGGGGCCAAGCAGCTGAGGCGAGTTCTTGGCTCTAGGTCTTTCGGTTCATTCCAAGCCTCGCCCAGTCGGCTCAATTCATTGTTCTGGTGATAGCAGGCATCGAAGGGCCTCAAGTAGCAGTTAGTTCACAGCTACTTGGCTTCAACTTTGTGTCTGCGGGTTTCAGGGGATCCCGAATCCCTCCTTGCTCCAGCTATTTTTCAAGCCGATCGCTTTTGAGCCGTGAGTCCGTATGCAAAGAGCCAAACGATGATTGGCAAAGCCAAGCTGTGTTACCCGACCTCCGGCGACCCCTCCATCGCCGTGTAGAGTCCTTTCCACGGGTGTCTCTGAGGCACTTTTCCATTCTGGAGAGATGTTCTTCGGCGGCTTTCCAGGGGGCGATGGCTTCCCCGGCATGCCGGGGAAGGGCGGAGGCTCGGGTCGTCGGTGCTAATCTTGCGGCAGCTACTTTGGTGATTGTGGGAGGTTTTGGGATGTTTTGGGAGGTTTCGTAAGCTTGGGGTTTCTGTACGGCTTTACGGCCACTGAACCTGAAACACCCTAAAGCCCTAAAGCCTAAGGCGTTTCCGGGGGATCGGGGCTGCTTTGCAGGCCGGGGCAAGAACGCGGACACGACGAAGTTCTACAAGCTCCTCGAGGTGGATAAGCCACCGGGCCCAGAAGCCGGAAAGGGCGCAGGGAGTAATTAAAAAGGGGCCTCCATACTTAGAGCAGGGGTTTGCGGGTGTGTTATGGTATATATGGTGCGGTACAGCATCAAATCTTACATAAAAGCCTGGATCAGCACCAATATGATTACCCGGGAACCCCTTCATGTAATTACATACATGAAGGAACCCTAGAAAGTCATTTCTGAGTATGTATAGGCTTTTGGCCCCTTTTTTAGCTTTGCAGCTGATGCGCAATTTTTGCAGTGTTGCGACGCAGCCTAGGAATGCCTCAGAGGCCGACATCAAGAAGGCTGCCTGCACAGAAGCTTTTGGGGCAGAGCCTCACCAAACACTAAGCAAAAACCCCAAACCCTAAGCCTTAAACCCTAAACCCTAAACCAAAATCCTAAACCGTGGTGTCTATTGATTTTCGGGCGCGCTGGCTGGAGACCTGCCTTTTTATTCTGCCGTGAGCTTCAGTTCCACCTGGCAGAGGCATACAGAAAGCTGGCCGTGAAGCATCACCCTGACAAGGCGGGGAATGCATAGCATAGTCGATCGTGGGGGATTGAGAAGAGCAGCCGGTAATCCGGGATGTCTTAAAAGAGTGTAATGTCATGTAGCAGGTTGTGCAGTGGAAGATAGCCTAATGCAGCATTGATTAGCATAGCACTGGGCCAGAGAGCATTCAAACAAGTTCAAGACCACACTGAAAAATACTCGCAATTTGGTGTAGACTTAGCTTCGGCAATGTCCTGAGAGGTCGTTGACATGCTGGCAGAACTCGTGAGGTTCACCCCTACACCCCAAACTTTCAAACCCCAAACCCTAAACTTTCAAACCCCAAACCCTAAACTTTTAAACCCTAAACCCTAAACCCTAAGCTTTTAAACCCTAAACCCTAAACTAAACTCCAAACCCTGCACCCTAAATTTTTGAACCCTACACGCGCATCCTCTTGTGAGGGCGGTGACCCGGAGAAGTTCAAGGAGATCACCAGAGCCTATGAGGTGACCATCCTTCTTTGCACGTTTGGGGTTTCGGGCTTGGGGTTTTGGTTTTAGGGTTTGGGGTTTGGGGTTTGGTGTTTCAGTTCTTAGTCGAAGGGGCATTCCCTGGAGCCCGATCGTTTCTTGAAACGAGCATTCCACATCATTCCGGCAATTCATCTACTTCAGTTTGGGTTGTGGGATGGCGAGAATCCTACAACCAACGACTCTACAGGTCTTGACGAGAAGAGCTTGTAAATGGAGAGGCATCATGGTTTTGATGCGTGTTTGCTTACGCAGTTTTGGTGATCTGCTTGCGGCAAGCCACGAAGATGCACAGCGAACCTCGAACAGCCCCAGTCCCGGAGTCCCGGAGATGCCAGGTTCTCAGTGATTCCGACAAGCGTTCGAAGTACGATCGTTTCGGCCCAGCACTGAGCACTGGGTGACCCTACACAATCCTTGGTGACTCCTGTGTGGCGGCCTCCTTGGACCTGCACCGGAGGATTGTGAGGAGGACAACTACAGTAAATATCTCTTGTGTCACAGTGCTTCAACTTACTTTCGCAGATGCTGTTATACGTTTGTAGACTAATAGATGTGTCGTGAACCCAGGTGAGGAAGGCCTGGACAACGACGGGCCTGGCGATGCAGGAGACATCTTCGAAGCCTTCTTCGGGGGAGGCTCACCAACCCCCAACCGTGCAAGCCTGGTATAAACCCATCAACCCTGAACTACTGAACTCCACACTAGACCCTAAACCCTACATCCCTAGGCCCTAGCCTGAACCCAAAACCTAAAACTCTGAACCCCCAGCCGTAATAAAAGAAGAACATAATCCCATCTAATCTACTCTAATCTAATCTAATCTAATCTAATCTAATCTAATCTAATCTAATCTAATCTAATCTAATCTAATCTAATATGAGATGATATGGTATAATATGATATACTTTGACTACAGTTTACTATATTATAGCATTATATCATGATTCCACCATTTTCTCAAGAGCGCAAGGCGGCCGCCGGGGTGGAGGCGGACAGCGAAGGCGCCAGAAGACCAAGGTGCCTTTGGAGAGCTCTAAAAGGGTTTAGGGGTTTAAAAGGACTTGCAAGGGCTCTACACGAGTTACTGCCGGGTTTAAGATGCTTAGGAGTCGGAAGAATTGGTTTCTTGTTATAGTTATTGTATGATGTACCTCAAGACCGTATATCAAGAAGACCGCTACATTAAGGCTGTGATCATGACGAGACTGATTAGTGTTATTGTCGGCAGCGTCAGGGTGATGATTACGTACTGCTACTGCTATCGTTGTTATTGCTGTTATCATTGCTAAGCTCGTGGATGTGGCAGTGAAGTTTGCGCCAAGTTTTGTCGGTGCACGTGTTCGCGAGGATGTGGTTCAGAACCTCAAGGTCACACTGGAGCAGCTCCTTGGCTTGTAAGTTCCGTACCAATCCCTACCATACCGTGCCATACCCCAGCATGCCATGCCATGGAATACCATGCCATACCATGCCCCGCCGTACCATCATAGACACAGGTCTTGGTCAGGTTTGTCCTTCATAGAATCAAAGGCCGGGTGCACGGCCTCCTTTGCTGTGCATGAAAAATTATATGGGCCTTCGTCACCCACAGTCGTCACACGACCCTAAATCGCGAATCCTGAAACGGTTGAGCATGCCAAGGATGTATGTTGGCGCCACGAAGAAGATGGCCATCACTCGCCAGGCTGGCTGACAAGTCGGTTTGCTGTCAAAGCACTCACCGTTGCCATCTTCCTTGTCGCTAGCATTGATTGTGGAATTAGGCATACTGCTATGGTTGATGACAAGATTCATGGGTGAACCAAGGCTCAGCGGTCAGTGTTAAAGCAAAGGACGCTTTAGAGTAAGTCCGTCTACGAATCTCCCAGCGAGCGAAACCCTGGCAGGAGCGGGCATTGACGATTGTGTGATAAGCATACTCATCGGAATCATGACAGTAGCGAAAGTAGCAATAACAACAATAACGGCACAGTACATTCAACGCGAAAGGTGTGAGAATTTTCTGTAATCGTGAGCGATGCAAAGGTCATCGACAAGAAGAAAGGCGTCCAGGAGTGTCGGGAATGCGACGGCCGCGGCGTGAAGGTCGAGGTTGTGCGCATGGGGCCGCTCGGCTGTGGTGAAGAGTCAGACGTCCCAAGGGGGCCAGAAGTTTACGGGTTTAGGGTTTAGGATTGAAGACATGAATCTGAACAACTGAGGCCCATGATTCAGCAGATGTGCCTTGGTAGTGATTGAGATCGTCTCAGAGAGCTCGGCGATTGCGCATCCAGCTGTTCTTGGCATCTGACGCAGTTTTCTGGCGAAGAAGCTCCAAGCTTTGAGTTGATCTTGAACTGTCACCAAACACTAAATGGGTAGTTCTCCAAATTTGGTCCCTGTTGGGGTTCTTTTTATAAGGGTGCCGTACTATATTGGGGATGTCAAAAGGGACCCTGATTTAGAGAACTACCCAAATGCAGGGAGCCTTGTTACGGAATGTTACAAAAGATGCTGAAAACCGACCTTGAGCCTGAACTCGAAGCCTTAAGAGCCTTAAAAACCTTAAACCCGTGAACCCTCAACCCTAACCCTAAACCCCTGCAGCCCCTAGACCCCTGAATCCCTGAATCCCACCCCAAGAGGAAGTGCCCAGCCCTGTCTGGAAACCCTGAAACCCTCAATCCTAAGCCCCAAACCCTAAACCCGAAACCGTAAACCTTAAACCCTAAACCCAAAGCCCAAAGCCCTTAATCCGAATCCCTAAACCCCAAACCCAAGCCCGAAGCCCCAGGCAGTCGCAGTGCCACTCTTGTGGTGGCCAGGGCAAGAGCTTCCAAACGAAGCAGGAGAGGGAGGTGCAGAATTGGGGTTCGGGTAATGTAGGAGCCTTATTGATTGGAATAGGGTTTTGGGGCTACAGTTTGAGCCTTAATAATTAGAAGAGGGTTTTGGGGGCTTCTTATTATAATGATAGTTTTCTATAGCCCCAAACCCCATTCTACTTGTTAAGGCCCCCATACTCGGGGGGTTCAGGGTGTAGCTGTTCAGGGGTTCAGGGTTTAGGTGTTCGGGGGGTTGGGGTCAGGGGTTTGGACTTCGATGCTTCACTTCTTCTTTGTATTACCGTGATAATGCGTAGCACCGCACTTGTTGATACTGCTGCCGTTATTGCCTCTTATTATTAGGTTTCGTTATGGTTACTGCTGCCGTCACTTGTGCTATTACTGTTGGGCAGCAATTAACTTTCGTAGCCGGCTGAGTGTGAATAGCAGTGTTGTTGTTGTTGTTGTTGCTGCTGCTGCTGCTGCCCGCCATGATACATGAATGGAGCGGAAAGACAGGGCTTTCGGTCATCAGACACTCAGCCTGTTTTCCGGAAGGGCCCCACAAAGTAGGGCTGTGTCATGGGCGCACTCTGTGTGATCTACCTAAATCAGGATCTGTGGTGGGTTGTGACTTAGGACTTAAGCTTCATCGTGAACATGGCAGAAGGTTTGAGGCACAAGTCTGCGCATTCGCAAATTTCGCAAGCTCAGTACTGTGGACTTTGTGTTTATGGTCCAGGTGCTGGAGGTGCACGTGCAGAAGGGCTCGCCAGATGGCCACAAGGTGCGAGACAGAATCTGCCCTGGAGTGTAGGGAAGGCAACTCGCGGGGACCTGAGCCAGGTCACCTTCAGGGAAATGGCAGACGAGCACCCGGATGCGGACGCCGGAGATGTGATCTTCGTGCTGAAGCAGCAGGCAGGGCCGGCTGCGACTTTTGGAGCTCCTGGTGGGCAGCTAGTTTTGGGGTGGGGTGGAGCCGGCTCGGGTTCAGGAGCACGCCGACTTCAAGAGGAAAGGCGCCGACCTCTACGTCGAGCGCAAGATCTCCCTGGTCGAGGCCGGGGCTGGGGCGGGCTGGGGCCCAAGCCCGGGGGGGCGGCTCCAACTCGCCCAAGCCGGAGGCCCTCTGCGGCTTCCAGATGGAGCTCACGCACCTGGACGGCCGGAAGCTTCTCATCAAGACGCAGCCAGGTGGGCCCTTCGGGGCCGCCCCCGACCCTCTCAGAGCACTTTTGCTTCTGTTTTCTTCCCTTTTCTCAACAGGTGAGATCGTGAAGCCCATGTCCCAGGGCTTCGACCCTCTGGCCAAAGAGGCTCCTGGCTTGGGCGCTTCGCCACTCCGCCCCTGTGCCCGTCACCTCTCATCGCCAGGAGAGCAAGACCGAGTGGGAAGTCATCGAGGATGCAGACTGCCCCTCCGTAGAGAATGTCGCGCAGGCTCTTCGGAAGACATAGTATATTACATTATACGTATTATATTATGTTGAATGCGGGCCTTTTCTCCCATTAGCCAGGCGGACACCACGGACATCGACACGCTCAAGAAGGCGTGCGAGACCCAACTCAAGCGCCCGGGGCCAAGTGCTCGGGGGGGGGGGGAGATGTAATATGCAGGTTAAAGTGGGGCTACACGGGCCTCTGCTTTGAATATCATACCAGCTCGCAAGAAACCGCAAAGAACCAGCATCTCTGCTCCCGGTCTGTTTCAGCTTTCCTGGAAGGGACTTCGAATGTAGCCAGGGCAGTTTCGGACATCAAACTGTCTTTGGGAGTCTTAGACTCCAGTCTGAGCAGGGGCTGCGCACCGGTAGCCATCGAACCGCATGCTACGCAAGTTTGAAGGCTTTCACATGCCGGGCCCTTTTTTGCCAGTGGGTAAAGGGAAGTCTCCAGGAAAGGGCATCGACGTGGGGTGCTTCGTCGTCGATGGCCAGCGACCGGGCCTTAGTCGATGAGGCTTGGCTTGAGAAGCAAAAGATCGCTGCAGCTCTCAGTTCTCAGGTGCCTACTTTAAGCAGTGCTCCCGCGAAGAGGCTCTAGCAGCGACGTGCTTAGGCTTCGGAATCTGCAGCTGCTGGTAGCACTTCCCGAGTTCTGCCACAGCCAAGGCCAAAAAGACGCGCCGTGGCAGCACGATGCGGCTTGGCTGCTTATGAGAACCGGAACGTCCCATGGACGGCGAAGCTGCTGAAATCTTTCAGGGAAAGATGCTGAGCAATCGGTGTCTTGCAGGTACGTCCTCCCTGATCCAGATGCTGCTTGGAAGCAGAAAAGGGAAACAGGATCTTATCTGAATTTTATCTTATGTTATACTTTTATATTATATTATGTAATCTTAGGTTAATGTTACAGTATATATTGCATTGTATTAGTTTCTATTACTTTCTACTAATGTAGGAACCTGATTAAGAAACCCTGCAACTTTATGAGGGTTCTTACTATGAACCCTCATATATTGGGGCTATAGGGCCAGGGTTTCTTAATCAGGTTCCTACACCCCTAAACCCTAAACCCTAAACCCTAAACCCTAAACCCTAAACCCTAAAACAAAAACCCTAAACCCTAAACCCTACATTAGCTGGGAGGTTACGGGGAACAGGCAGAGCTTCTCGAGCTCCGAGCCGGCGTTCAGCCGAGGCCAAGAAGTCCTTCCGCATGATGAAGGCGCCATGAGAGCAGGGTTTATGGTTTAGGGGTTTAGGGTTTAGGGTTTAGGGTTAGGGGTTAAGGGTTTAGGGTTTAGGGGTTTAGGGTTTAGGGGTTTAGGGGTTTAGGGTTTAGGGTAGCAGTATTCTTTCGTGCGTGCCATTCCATGGGTTTCGGGTCGGGAAGGAGTTGCCTATGGGCGGGTGAACGGAGAAGGCTCCCGTAGAGGTCGCGGGAAGTCAGCTTCGGTCTCTTCTGTCCTCATCGGCGAAAGGCTGTCAAGGATGAGGGCATGCCTACCTACAAGAACCCGCCTCTCGGCAGCACTTCCGCGACACGCACGAGAGCCAGTGAGATTGCGCTGATGGTGCTACTCACTTCACTTCGGGAAAGCCCACGATGCCGGATCCAGCTTTCGCAAGCAGCACGAGATAAGGTTCGTCCATGGCAATCTCTTCCTGATCCTCACCATTGAGCCAGAGCCTTGAGTTTGGGCTGTAGCTTTGTGTATCAGATGGCTCTTTCTGGAGGTTTCCGGACATGCTCTCTCCAGAGAACCAGACAGCGGCTTGCCTGAATGTTCGCAGTGTCCTGTGCATGTCCCTCCAATCTGTAAGAGTCTCGCGAGACAGTGCCTCAGTAGCACGAGAACCATCGTTATCACCAGAAGAAGGTAGCAGCAGTCAGACCTAGAATCATCTGGTGACCCTCAGCATCATTCTCACGGGAGAAGAGCAGAAGTCAGACCCTCACTTTGCATGATCTTGTGTGAAATTTCGACCCTCAGATGGTTAATGGTAGCTGGCAGTGATGATGAAAGCAATTTGTACCCTACCAGGCTATGGCAAAGCTGCTGCCACCGCCACGACCTCGGTAGACTTGCCAGAAGGGGACGCCCTGCGGCCCTAAACCCTAAACCCTCAACCCTAAAACCCAAGTCCCAAACCCTAAACCCTAAACCCTCAAACCTGAACCCTAAACCCCAAACCCCAAACCCTAAACCCTAAACCCTACACCCCTAAACCCTAAACCCTAAACCTTTGGGCGAAGTCGAGCTCTGACGAGCTGCCAGGCCGCTGAACGTGCCAAAGTGGACGGAGGTGGGCCCGTACTGTAGGGGCCTTGATAATTAGATCAGGGTTTGGGGGTATATTATACTATATTTGTAACAAGGAACCCCCAAGACCCTATTCTGATTAGTCAGGCCCCTACATTACTCTAGTTGTGAGCGGACTAGATCAGAAGGCAGTTAAGTTAATATCCATATTCTGTGTGTACTAGTCAATCTCAGTTAATACGTATATAGGTTGGTATATACATAGATAGATAGGGAGACCGATAGATAGACAGATAGATAGATAGCGCGTGACAAAGAGTCTCCTCCTGGTCGGCTTGATTCTGGAGCCAGGACGACAAGGATGTCGAAATTCACATGGTGACCGACATCGACCCAGTGCAGTCCTTCAACTCAAACAAGGTTCGTCTTCCTGTCGAGCCGGCCGTAGCACAGACCTGAGCTGATGCCTCCACTTCCCTGTGGCATGCTGTGGATGATTTGCGTCGAGTAGGGTTTTTCAACATGGTTCAAACCTACACCGTACATCCGACGTGCCACAATGGCTTCCTCCGCACAAGTCCGGGTGTGCATGCAGCGTATGATATTTGCAGGCAGCTGGCTTGTAGTGGTGTTGCCCCGGAAAGTGTTCGGGCAGGTCAACATGCAAGCGGGCGGTGAGGCCTACGACGACGATGAGGAGCGGAGGGAGAATGCAAAGGGCAAGGCTTAGCAATACCGGCATAGAATATAGTTTAACATCCTATAGTATAGTTAGCATAGTATAGTGTGGTATGGTATATAGTATATTGTTTCCGTAGTATACTCTATAGTACATGAGAAGATCCCTTGCAGTCCCAGGAGGATGGTCCTCGTGGGGGCCCTGGTGGTCCTGGTGTGCAGTGCCATCAGCAGTGAGGCCGGAAGCCCAAAGATCCACATAGGTGGTTGTCAAAATTAGGGTCCCTTTTTGGGTCCTTAGTGTAATACGGCACCTATTATTTAGGGTACTATAGCTCCCTTTACCCGTAATTGGGAGTTTCCGAAATTAGAGGTACCTTAATTTGGGGTCCTTGTAATAAGGATCCTACTATTTAGGGTACTATATTAGGGTCCCCTATTTTCGGAAACTCCCACATGAACTCGATACCGACTAGCAAAGGGCCCCAAACTGTGGGGCACAGCTACTGTGCAGTCGCTACCTTCAGTAGCCTCCGATTCTCTTTCGGGCTCCTTACTCGGAGAAGTCGATGTTCACACCCCTGCAGGATCAAACTCTCCGAGTCCTCGCGATGCGCTGATCATGGGCTGGCCTGTCCAAAATCCGAGCTTGTGGCTCCCGTCGTGAAGAGGGAGAGGGAGTGCTTCAGGCTCAGACTTTCCAAGGGTCGCGGACGGATTTTGGTAAGGCCGAGCAAAGCTCTTTTTTGTGCCGGTCCGGGCATCAAGGGGGAACGCATTGCCAGAGAAGCATCTGGCTGCTGTGGCTCCCGCCCGAGGACTCGACATAGCAGCATAGCAGATTCAAATGCCAAAGTCAGTTCAAACAAAATAGGTCATTCATGTTTATGCACCTGCCAGTCACTTGGCCTTCGGGCTCAGAACAGGATTTTTGTTTCAGAGATGCTCTGATCCTGGCGACGGGAGCCTGACTTAAGCCTGTGCGGATCCAAGACAGCACGATTTAAGCGCTGGGGCCCACAGCTGTTGCAGTCGTTTGCTGTAACCCAAGACCACCTAGGTCCCCATCCGAATGCTGTGAACTCTAGACTCCCTACTTCAAGCCCCGTCTCCTGCGCTCCATACCACCTGAAAAACCCTAAACCACAAGCCCAGATGGTGTCTTAGCAAAGGATCCGCCAGCAGGAGGGCTCAAATACAGGTCGCCTCAGAATGGCGCTTCAGCCGCCTTGCTCTCTCCGTTCAGGTGCTGTTTTTTTCGTGGAATAAGAAGCTTCGGGTTTGAATCAATATTTGGTGTTTCCATCCTCACAAAATATGACAAGAGTGGGAACTGTTCTTCGCGAACCAACAGCGGGCGGAGAGATCCCGATCTAGGTCGGGAGCTGCCACAAACCGAACTTCATTTGCACGCTTTGCACGCAAAGAGAGGCAAAAGATTGGTGGATTGTTGTCATGCAGCTGACCTGCAAGTAGCATGCATCTCTGCCGCAGTGAGATCGCCCGGTCCGAGCGTCGTATGGTTCAAGGAGGGTTCTGTGGATTTGATTCGTGCGCTACGTTGCTCTGCGGTGGAAGACGGATGCGCCTGTCAGCTTTAGCATGATGTTAGTATCATATACCCCAACACCCTAAACCCTAAACCCTATGAGCCCTAAACCCTGTTCTAAATATTCGGGCCCCTATGTTGAAGGAGTGTCAGGCAAGGGTTGCATCTTCTGGGCGTCGGCATGGCCTTATGCCTGGCAAGGATGAGCTCAAAGAAGCCCAGGCTTCATCTAGGGTTTAGGGTTTAGGGTAGAGGGTTTAGGGCTTCATCTAGAGTTTAGGGTTTAGGGTTTAGGGTTTAGGGTTTAGGGGAAATAATTACATACCAATACTGCACCGAAGGACTGCTGCAGGGCATGGGGCTTCCTGTGCGGAACGTAGCTCGCGAAGGCGTGGAATCGTTGCGTCGTTGCATCGTGTGCGTGAGGGAGATCACATGACAGCGCCAGATCGTAGCAATTTAACCAACATGTTGAAGTCAGCCCTTTTGAGAGCATATGGGCATGGCGTGTATGGCACATCCCTGGCCTGGGAAGGTGCGCGAGTGGCTGCAAGTTCTACCAGCGCCTTTTCTGCTGCGGATCTGCGTGGAGCGGATCGTCAGATTCGTCAGCCGCTCAGAAGGCCCAGAAGATATGGCAGTCATGTTGAGTGGGCTCGGGCATGCGGCAGTTGCCCGGTCAGTGGCTCAAGACTTTGAAAAGCCGCGCAAGCTTTGGCTGCTTCGCAGCTGTGGTCTGCCCAATGTCGGCAGAGCAAATTTCGCTCATGTTTGATTCCTTGAGAGATCAGGTCGTGTTGGCTTTGAGGGCCAAGGAGGAGGATGCAGCGATGATCGCAGCCCTCCAGCAGCAGCTGGGCCTTCAAAGCAAGAAAGTGACAATGCTGGAAACACAGCTCCAGGAGCTCAAGCAGGTCCTGCTGGGCCTCACGGAGGTGGAGGAGGAGGGTGACGAGCAGTCTACGAACAGCGGGGAAACATGCACTCCGCCTCCTCCAACAGCGGAAGAATTAACGGAGCAGACCGACTCAGATGCAGAGTCCGTTCCCCCGCCACCCCGTTCACACATCGCCAAGATCCTGCTGCGGCAAGTCTTTGCCCGCGTAGCGGCCGAAGACGAGAAGGCGGAGGATGTGCAGAGATCCCTGTCGGATGATGTCAGCATGTGGGAGGCAGAGCCTGGTGTAAAGGTGGAAGGTCAGCAGACCGCAACGGAGCCCGCTGATACAAGGATTTTGCAGGCAGGCCCTGCTATGGAGGTGGAGGCACAGCGCACTACCCGATGGGTGTGTGTCCGCAGGAGCGGAATGGACATCCGGTCAGGGCCATATGTCGAGCGCAGGCATGTTGCAGGCTACTTGCCTGCGCAGAAGGTCTTCCATGTCTCCGAGGAAAGACGAGGCTTTTACGGGACGATCTTTCTGAAGCTGGCTGACGGCACGGGCTGGGTTTTCTCCGAAACCCGCTCCGGCACTTTCTGCAAGCCGGCCGATGTACAGCACGCAGAGATGAAGTGGCCCGGCCAAGCCTGGACTTGCCAGGACAAGGTTCACAGATGGAAAGACCACGAGAAGTCTTGGAGCGGGAGCTCAGGCTCCGAAAGCAAGGCATGGTGCAGCGAAGCAGAGGACGGAGCGAACACCGGCGCGTGGCAGGACCATCACGATAATTGGTCTTGGAGTGGGAGTTCCGACTCCAAGACAAGCGAATGGTGGGGAAAAGATCAAGGTGGGCGAAAGAGTTACGATCCGTGGGCTCATTGGCAGAAGAGCCAGTAAGCCAGTACTGAGGACTGGCCTGATGGCACGCTACAGTATTGCCCTTCGTGCAGAAGCAGAATTTGACATGACAGATTGCACTGTGCAAAGAACTTGATTCGGAGCTGTGTTTGAAAAAACGACGTTTCCGTCCAGCCTGCTGACCTTAGCATCGCCGGTTAAAGATTTTTGCAAGTCGCACAGACTCGTTTCCAAGCAAGAAAGCACACAAGCGCGCAGCAAGCGAAGCATCCGAAGATGTTCAGATGTGAGTTGGCAAGGAAGCCTCGCCGATGCCGACAATTTCGAGGCTGAATCCTTCAGAAATGTCCCATTCCAGTGGGGGCCTCGATCGGCTCCGCGCGTCAAGTCACGTTGCGATCTGTTTCCTGCCTTCCAAGGTGGAAGCATCTGTGCTGCGTCTCAGGACTGCAGCCATCGCAAGTGTTTTCTCCAACTCCAAGGGTGCCTTCCAGTGGATAGGGCGTGTTGGCCCCCGCCTTGCGAGGCCGCGTTGTCTCCTGGGCGGTCGCCTGGCCTGGCCACAGCGCTGAGGCCCCCACTCCGGGGGGAGGTTTCTTTCTGTGGATTATTCAGGTCTTCTTGTATCACCCAGCAGCAAGGAATAAGTAGTGGTCAAATCGTAGCAGTCCTCTAGGAGTACATAATATAGCAGAATACAGTGCAACACAAGAGAACTGCAACATAGCGAATCGTGAAGTCTGTTGCATGCGCATGTTACTGGTATGAGGCCGTGACGTGGGGCTTTTGGCTGTTTCGGAGGGAATGAAGAACCATGTGTGCCGAAGCGCTGCGAGTTTCTTCGCACTGAAGAGACTTTCTTGGTTTTCGGTGTCAGTGGGGAAGAGAACTTGGAGAACTGTGGGGCTTCGGATTGCAAAGCATTGCAGCATCGTTCGAGCAGCGGAGGCTCAAGGCTTTGGACTTCCGCTGCGCGCAGCCTCTGCCTCTGCCGGTCGACAAGGCGTGCAGTCCGCCTCTTCCAGTCTTAAGTCTCAGAGACAGTTGGTCCTTCGGGGAGGGGCCGCGGGCTTGTCCTTGTCCATGCGGAATCTGATCGTCACCGAAGGCTTGCATCCTTAGGTCTCTGCCTTGTGCGATGACCCCAAACCCGAAATTCCGAAACCCGACTTCGCGAACCCTGAACAGCTGTCTAACAAACGGGAATCCTTTTGTAAACCTTAAGCCCTAAACGGTCCTAAACCCTAAGCCCTAAGCTGTTAGCTGAAGGTAGGCCCACAAAAATCCACAAGAGTCCACCGCAGGTCATGTCCGCAGAGATGCGGGAGTGCAATTACGGACTTATCATGAACATCCACACGAAGGCCCGGACGCCCAAACCCTTGACAATCCTTCAGAAACAAGCCAAGTCCTCCGTCCCACTGTGCCTGAGCGCAGAGTCTACTTTGCAAGACTTGCACATCTATTATTCCAGAGATCGCAGACAGAGGCTAAGCCGAACAATTTGACTTCCATTCAACCCTTCATGAGGAGTCCGACAGATGCCGCCAAACCTTCAAACCCTAAACAGGTCGCCGCAAGGAGGGCATGGTGACCCTCGACGGACGCGACGTGTACGTGGATGACCCGATGTTCGAAATCTTGGAGCAGGCAGACTCCTCGCTGACAGCTTGAAGTTCTCGATACTCCGTCATGCGGCATCGAGCGTGCGCGTGCCAGGTGTGACTAACACCTCTCGACGGCTCCCACCGACTGGCTCGAAGACATTGACAGCATCGAATGCCTAAAACTCGGCTGCTCTCCCCTCCCGAACGGCCTCTGCGCATGCAAAGTGCATGGAAAGCACAAAGCAAAAGAGCGCTGCGAGGCTCAGTGTGCGGCACTGACGAGGAAAGTCAGAAGCGGCGGCCAACGTGGCGGCCGCTTGATTCAATCACCAAGCGTTCAATTTCTTGGGATGCAAACCCTGTGAAAGGATTGCAAAGCAGACCTCCGTGAAACCAATAGTACCTAAGCTGCGCATAGAGAAGCTGGAGAGCCCTCGACACTTCGACTAACGCGGCTGATTTTGCCACACATAAATCTTAGAGACCCAAGCGTCCGGGACCCCTGTTTCCTTGAAGCTCGCCTAATCCAGTAGAGGTTGAAGGTCGTTCTTCAACGTCGCGCCAAGCCCTGAATCAGGTCGGGTCTCAAGAAGCTTTTGATGTGATATGCTTTTGTGCTTCTGGAAAATCGTCTGAAAGCAGGGAGCCAATAATTAAAAGGTACAGGGGGCACTTCGATCCTTCATCAACCAACAAGCCTGTTATGGGCAGTATACAGAAGGACTCACGATCGTAGGTCAAGCAGCTTTCCGATGCTTTCAGTAGTTATTTGCCGCAACGCTTTACTTTCAACTCTCACCGGACACAAACGAGAACATCTTGTTAGGATGTGAGCTTGCAGGTCCGGGGTCGATCATTCACTCGAGAATGAGACACTCCAATAAGTCCCACAGGTTTCTACTTCCAACGCAATCAAACGTGCAAGACCGGATGCACCCATAAGTCGTGAAGACTGCGAAGGGGTCCACAAGCATGCGTGTAGCTTGTTGAAGCGATTGCCACGAAGTCTCTGCATACCTCACCACAAGCTCCAGAAGAGGCAACATCCGGAATAAGCATGGGGGTGAACGGGGCTGGCTGTGCTGAGGAGGAGGTTGTGAGGGCCGCAGACTCCGAAGTCAATCTCAAGCGCTATGCCATGCATCCTCTGCAGGTGGGGGGAAGAGCTTCTTTCCGAAAGAGTATCCTTTTTTGATGCTGATAGGCTGCCCTTAGCCGAAACAAGTCTGAGCACAGGCACGAGACAACTCTCTATGGAATGTGTGGAATTCCGCAGTTGTCTCCACCTGAGCTGATGCACATCACCAAAGCCGCAAACCCACAAATCTTCGGCCCACTAGACGTGAAATGATTTCGGGCTTATCAGTGTTGGATAGAGAGAGCACGCTCTTTCGAAGTTTGGAGAGCCGACTACATGAGGCCTTCAGCATCTCTGGGGCAGCGTCGCACCGAAACTCACGCTCGAAATTGCGGTTTAGGAAGTTTGGAGTCAAGCCCGATGCATCTGTGTGAACATTCGGGTGTAAAATTCCGAGTTTCTTCAAGGCCGGTGATGAGATGACTCGGATGAAGATGTTCCTGGTGGCCCGCGGCCCAACAATGCACAAACATAGACTGCCCTGAAGGCCTACAGAAGCTGCGAAGCTCACCCCTTTGATCCGTATGTGCGGACCACAGCAACGCTTTGAGCTTCACACCTTGTGACTTAAGACTTAGAGTTCAGGTCTCCGTGTTTGATGATGTAAAAACGAACATAGATGCGACTGAGACCAGTTCTACTTGTACAGAGGGCACCAGGGGTTCTCGCCATCATTATGTTGGAGCCTTCGAGAGTCTTCGAGATGAAGGCTTCGGCTGCTGCTTTTGGCCCATCCCAGATGCAGCAAGTTCCTTAAGAGATTTGCTGCCATCCCCACGCCCTTATATATGTATAAAAGGGGGGGGGCGCATACTTGTAACCCAAGATCTTTTTACAATTACAGGTTCCCTATCCAGGGGGGACGTGTGGGTAGGGGGGTATGAGAGGGGTTGTGCCGGTAAACTCGAGGCTTGTGTGCATGAAGACAATGTGTACGTGTGCGGGCATGAGTGCTGTGCTTGCGACAGACCTCCGACGAACTTCCCCGCTGCAACGTCAGGATCCGAGGTCCCACGATGCAAGCATGTGCAGCATGACACATGAACACAGTCGTGCATTCACCCAAGCAGACTCTGAGCCTTTTATTCTTGAGACTTTTCGCACGTGTGGTAGTTTCGGAATAGCATGAACTAACACGATGCAATAAATAGGCGTTGCGAGCCTAAAATTCCTGAGGCATTCCGTGCACTGGGACGTAGGTTGCTGAGCCACTGCATTTTCCCTTCGGCATGTCGCAAGTCTGGGAGCTGTTTGTGGCATCGTACCGGCAATCCGGCCCCAAATGTGGGGAGCCGATTCGTGCCTTGCCTGCAAAGGGAGTGGTCGGGTCGCAGATGGACATGCGTGGGCGTTGTGTTTAGAAAGATTTATACACATCTAAGATCAATGGCGACTGGCCGGCGACACGACTTCGTACCGGTCATGGAAACTAGCGGCGGAGTTCGCCAGAGAGAAAGGACTGGAGGCACAGGGCATGACAGGGAGCATCAGGGAGTGTGGCCGTACCGGTGTTTACGGCAGGCGCCGCCGCTGCTCTGCGAGTCCAAGAAGTATACCGCTAGCGGCCGTTTGAAAACGGAGTTCGCTGTGAAGGCGTTGAGGGCCACTTTTGGTATCTTTTGGTCACTCGAATACACCACAATAGACCCGAGTCACCTCCCAGCAGGCCGAGAATGCTTCGAGCACCTCGTCTGCGCCGAAAGTGCCTCGACTTAACGAACATTCTGCGATGGCATGTGTGGCCCTGACAGTATATGGTTTGTGCCTTTGCATCCCTGTCCTATCCTGTCCTAGGTAGGTGCCAAATCTTCTGCTGCTTCGTCGATTGGGGGATCCGACAAAGAGCCTCGCCTGGTTAATGGCTTTAACTTTAGGGCTTCAGGGGTTCGTTTCCAGATCTCAAAGAGTTTACAAGGAGCAAGGTTGGGGCTTAGCAGGTTTCAGGCTCTAGGGTTTTCGATGGTTTTCGGACATGTATGGATAGCTCTGAACCTGTGCCAGAAACACGTGCCTCTGAACCTGTGCCAGAAACACGTGCCCAAGCAAAGACGAACTCTCGAGATTGAACCCCTAAACTTAAGCTCCCTTGAAGCCTGAAACCCGCCATGACCCGCCCAGGGGTTGCAGAGCGGTGGGTGGTTTGGGTTATAAGGTGGTTTAGGCGGTCCACGGCTGTTCTAAGGTGGTATAGTGTTGTTTAGGGTAGGGGTTTGCGCCCCCACACCCAGGCGGTGGTCGAGAATGGTGCAGGTGCGCAGCCGACGGCCTCTTGGATGCTGGGCCTCTTCAGGCTTAGGGCTCTAGGGTTTATGGTTTTCCGTACCGAGGGCTCCCGGGTTTTCCGGTCTTGGCTGCAGAAACTGTTCCGCCTTGCAAGTGTATACTACTTCTACTTGAGATGCTGCTGCGAGTATTGTCTATGTTGGGCGGTTCGCCAACAGGCTGTGCATGGCTGTGCACTCAAAACCAATGAACCCTGTAGGGCACCTCCAATCCGTCGTATCCCAGGTAAGCTTGGAGTCTCACGACCTGAACAACGACCAGAAGGCCTTGTCTGGGCTGATTGTAAGTGGGGATACACTGCTTTAGATCTCTCCGGGTTGGGGCTTTATGGGGCCCTAAGGCTTGGAGGCTGGCCCGCAGAAGGCGTGGATGGGTGTTGGCAGTGAGGGGATCGCAGTGCTGTGCAGGATCAGCTGATTGTTGTTTGCAGTGGCAAGCTTGCTTGGTTTTGATCTTCAGTTGCAAACTGTGACAACATGGATCAAGGACGGCATTGAGGGGGTCGATGATCCTCAGATTGATTTTGCCCAAACGCCCCAAACCCTACTTCAGGGATCCAAACTTAGGCGAAAGAATCCCTAGGGAAAGGTTTTGGTTTCGGATCTAATCTAGTCTGGTACTGAATTGGTCCTACACCGCACTACTGTCACCAGATGCCCAACCAAACTCCGAAGCCCGAATCTTGCCCTAAACCCCAGACCTGTCGTTGATGGCATAGCTGCTCTTTTTTCTGCTGCACGACTGGTGGTGGCCTGTTCCTGGTGATTGGTGTCTGGGGTTGTTTGTCTCCTGGCTTATCCCTCGCCATAGCCTTAGCTGCACTGCTGTTTTTATCTGGCTTGATCTGGCTTGTGGCAGACTGGAGCATGAAGAAGCCGGCTGCGATGAAGGCTAAGGCCATGAAGGCTATGAAAGCCGTGCCCAAGGCGAAGGCCATGAAGGTGCCCAAGGCCAGGGTCTCGAAGGCCATGAAGGCCATGAAGGTGCCCAAGGCCAGGGTCTCGAAGGCCATGAAGGCCATGAAAGCCGTGCCCAAGGCCAAGGCCAGGGTCTCGAAGGCCAAGAAGGACGATGACAAGAGAAGAGATGATGACAAGAAGAGGAACGATGACAGGAACTACAGCGACAACTGGGACAGCCTCCCCGTGCCGAGCTGGGTCCCGCCGTCGCTGTTTTACAGGGACCACGACGGAGTGGAGAAGGTGGAGGTCGCGCAGCTGTAGCATGCACGTCATGACCGAAGGCCTGCCCGTCACCAGCAGTGTCGGGGAGATGCTCAGGTCCCTGGCGAGTGGCGGCTGCAGCTCTAAGCAGTACGAATGCATTGGGGTAGCCG